ATATATACATAAATATATATATAAACGACGTCGATCTAAAAATTCTCTCCATCATTCATGCGCCTCTATGAGTTGTATTTGGTTGTGAGACGAATAGTTCACCTCTGATTATGTCAGAAGAGACTCTGCTGGGGGTTGATGACCTATATGCATGTATCCTCTTATGCTTAGTTACCCAAAGACGTACCATAGTGCCATTCATACAAGTTGTTTCTCAATTAGCTTGTCAGGTTTGTTTGCTATTATATATTGTAACCCACACTCGCGAGCGCTCTATAAATATTTCCGGTCTCTGTATGTGCACTACCCCACAGTGACTAGCAACTCATCACTCAACATGTCAGAGGGAAACCTGCTCAACGTCAGGAATAGGGGCTCGAGCGTAAGCAGCTCAGACGGCGGGAGTCGAGTGAGTGGCAAAGGTACGGTCTTTTCAGTGTATATATTTAACAATAGGTACATATATACATATATACATATATATATATATAAATATATATATATATATGTATACATATATATACATACATATATGTATATATATATATATATTCAGTTTTGCAAACAGATACCATATGCTCCGCTTGGAATGAGAGATATGTGACGTGATTCTCCCTTTGCAAACGAGCACAGGCCTTACACCGACCAACAGTCATCAGATGTACACCTTGCCTGCCAAGAGTTGTATACACATACTGTTTGACAGGTGACACATATATATGTGTAGACGGGTCGATGGTTGTGTGTGTATGTGCGACGCTACACTTGTCCATGCTTGCGTACACGCGTGCCAGAAAGCGTTGTTAATCGGTCGGTGCATAGAATAGTCTTAGGCTTCGGACGTCTATCGATACATGAGCAACCCACATTGAACTCTGCCACAGATAAGGAAACGGCCGGATAGACTGAGAGTGAAGAGTCCTTATATTCCCTGTAACCTCACAGTTTAAGGGGTTTAAACCCTAAACCCTAAACCCTAAACCTTTGTCCTCAACCCTTCGAGAACGGGTTTAACGTTAGTATTCTTGTCATCAGAGGGCACCTATTTTCGCCACAATCCATTTTGTTTCGTCTTCTCATAATTATAACAAATGATCTTTTCCTATTGTAATGTAAACACTCGCACACTTCGCCTTTCAGGAGTGCGACTGCGACTGACCATTTCGTCATGGGCAACAACAGAGCACGAATTGCACAACAATAGTCCCACTGAGAAAGAACGGTTTCTAGAAGAAATACTCACAGACTTAGTCAACGAACGAGACCCGCAGGACGGTATGTATGTGATGGGCATCTGTCAATAAGAAACCATAACGATAAAGTACTAAATTCACACAATTGGATATATATATATATATATATATATAAATATATATAGTATTTGCGTGAGTGAGTGTATGTATGTTTGTATGTATATATGTATGTATGTATGTATGTATTTATGTATGTATGTATGTATGTATGTATGTATGTATGTATGTATGTATGTATGTATGTATGTATGTATGTATGTATGTATGTATGTATGTATGTAGTATGTATGTAGTATGTATGT